ATAGCTTTGAGGCCCGACTCTACAGGTTTGAGACTCGACTCCACACGTTGAGACCATAGTAGCTCGACATTGAAGTTCCCATTCCAAGGCACAAGTCGAACGCCTCCTCAACCGCCGAAAGGATCTTCTGAGCCCGGAGCCTCCAGCTCTGCCACGGGGGAGGTGAAGACGGAGACGGGAGTGTAGAGGTTGAAGGGGTTCCCGGGTTCCCCAGCCGTGTTGCTTGGGACTATACTGTACCAGGACCCTCCAAGGGGTGTCTATTTATAGCCCCTTAGCCGTTAAGGGGTGTCCATTAACCACCCCTTGAAGGTCCAGGTATGTGTGTGTGTGTGTTGGCAATAGTTGCTTCCGTGGGCACACCTCACCCGATTTGATGCTACATGTAACATGTAGCCGGAGGGAAAGCCAACCTCCACAAGCATTGGAAGGGGAGCATTGCTTTCCCAGCAGGAGGGCTACACGCCACTGTGCTTCCACAGAGAACTTTCACAAGAGACCCATGCTACTGCTATGGTGACGGCTTTGGGGCTTCGCGAGCTGTTGGGATACATACAGCATTATACAAGCATTTGCAGCACCTGTATGATATCAGATGCCTCCACCCGAAAGGTTTTGCCAGCATCTCCTCCAAGGCGACTTTCAGCAGACTGAAGAGATCCTGCGAGAGGCCGTGGCGCTCCTCGGTGTTGCATTGGGCCCATTTCTCACACTCGTGTTCGACTGTGTGTGGTTCCAGGGTCCGACCGGATTCTCCGGAAGGTCAGCCTAAGGACCAGAAGGTTCCTGGATGTTTTTTCTCCATTTCCACGAAGTCCATGGAGTCCACCAAGTCCATGGAGTCCACGAAGTCCATGGAGTCCACCAAGTCCATGGAGTCCATGGTTCCGAGTGCCTGGTGTCACTGGTGTCCTAAAACCTGCCCGTTGAGCCCAAAAAGGTCCCAAGGTGCTGGAGCACATGGTGGGAGCACTTGTGGGTAACGAGGCGATTCGGTAGAAGGATGTAGAAGGTAATGATCACGATCTCAACCTGCGGATCCAGAGTAGAAGGTCATAGAGTTTTTGGAGCCCCATGTGCTCATCCAACATCATCCAGTGACAGACTGGCAGCACTGAGTTTAGAGGTCTTTTGGTCACTCCAATCCCGATATGATTCGCCGATTAACCTCAGATATTCATGGAATTACATACCCCCCCGCGGAAATTGAATTGCAGGCACAGGGGACAAGAGCACGTTCTTTATTGATAGTGCTGGTCCTCAAGGTCGCTCTCGGGTTTTACTGGGGAGCGGTTTGCCTCCCGCTCGCAACAATATCCTTGGACGCACTGGTACCTCAAAACTACTTCCAGTTGGAGCCTGCTCGTGGAGACGCATGGGTTCAAGTGGCTCGCCAAACGCCCATGTTCCTCCTGGACGTGCTGCGGGACAACCGAACATCCATCCCCCATTGGTTCAACAATCCGTCAGGGCCATGTTTTTGTAGATTTTGCTGCTCAACTGCTTTCCTCCTGTGGATCGATTGGACGCAATCAATATGCATCCTAAGGCTCTCACCCAGTGATGCAAGCCAAGAAGGCTGGGGAGCTGTGGTCGATTGGAGCTCAACTCTCGCCGCAGAGGATCATATATCAACTGCAACACTGTCCAAAACAAACAGTCCATGGCTAGGAGGACAGGTCTGTTCAGACAATGTGCCTTTATCAGAATGGGAATGTGATTGTTGATGTGGTGGGGGACTTGCTAGATGAACTTAAACTTGGAACAGTCCGTACACAATTATCACTATTTTAGAACAAGGCCTTTACTAACCATCATCATCCACTGTTACTGGTAATAGGACCGGTCCAACTATTTTTTTATGGACCCATGTGGACCCTCTAAGATGGTTTGACCGATCAAAAGAAGAGGGGGGCGGTGTATTTGATGCCCCCCTACAGCGCCCCTACAGCCCCCCTACAGCACCCTGCAGCAGCAGATACTAAGAGCATTCTGCTCTTGAGATCTGGTAAAGTTGAAGCTGTGCGCCACTTCACGAGTGCGATTTGAAGCAGGGCACGGATTCCATCATTTTCCTGAAGTGACAGCACAAGCTCAGCGTCACGGAGGGCCTCACTTTGTTGCACAAAGCGACTTCGTTGGCTCAGTGACCAGTCCACATAGGAGAGGAAGTTCAGTTTCGCCCTCTAAGTGCAGAGGTGGGCATCGGGTATCTCACCATAGGTTGTAAGATGTTCCTATAAGCCTAAATAGTTGTTTTTTACTTGTAGTAGTAGCTTTAGAATAAGTCACGAAAGGTAGCCCTTCAGGGGATACCTTGAGTTTGTCTTGCGAAGCAAGTGTGGGCTCCTCCGGACCTAATAATTGATAGTTCAATTCAACCCCCCCCCCTCTCCCCCTGACCGCTTCATCCCGAAGTGGATCACCTCGACACCTCGATGGTTATTTGGTGTTGAGCACGCTTGGGGCAGTGTTTGAGTCCATGAAGAGACATGACATGTTGTTTTTAGTGCTTCTTGTCGTTGAGGATTATCGAATTTCTATGTACATATATATATATATACTTGGTACAGATGACATTGTGAGTTGTGCAACGACCTCCAAATCACCACCTTTCCTATGTCATTTGTCCACGGTCTCCAAAAAGAGAGGACAGAAATGTAAAAAAGCAAAACGCATCTCATTTGTGCAAATCCTCAGAATCTCGGATTCCATGGTGGCCCAAGCCCTACAGAGTCCATGACAAGAACCAAATCGCTCATGTGGTTGTGAATAGGTCAGGGTCCCATCTCATGTATCCGCAACCTATAATGCCGGGGTTGACAAACAGGCAGTGGTTGCATGAGATAAGACCTGCAGCTTTATATCTAACTTTGGTCTTTTCCTCCATTCTCAAGTTGACGTTTGATTCGACCCCACCAACACCACACTGCATATGTTACGTCCTTATTGTCCTCCGGCTTTCCTACCTTTCGTGTGTCCCGCTTCTCAAGTATATTCTATCTTTAAGAAGCCTGAAGCAGCATTGAGAAGAGCATGTTGTGGGGGATTGGACCTTCATCCTCAGTTGGCCGCAACGCTGGGCCAGGAGACGGGCGGAGGCGCCGGGAGACGGGCGGAGGCACTGGGTGACGGGCAGACACGGCCCTGGAAAGACCGTGAAATCCTCTACAGACAGGGGGTGAACTCCACTTCCATGGGCAGGAGGAAGGGTGTTACTGGTTATACAGCAGTGGGCATGGCACCCCAGGTCGCACAAAATGTATCCACCCTACAGAGCCTTTGTCGAGTACCTGGCTTAGGCCGGAGATGCTACCCCAGTGTACGGCGAACCAGTTGTTTTTGCTTTCATCATGTGTTTGATCGACCGTTGAACATTGTCTCAGACCATCCATGGGACTGGCCTATACCTACGTATATTGGGATGGTCGCGGGAGTCGGTGTAGGCATTTTCCACACATGGACCTGGATGGTTTGGGTATTTGCACCTTCGGGATTCTCAAACAGTTCAGGCTTCACCGATGTGCAGAGGGGATGAATCTTGGATGGGCGGCTCATCAATAGATTTTTCCAAGGGACCCCTGACCTTCTGGAACAACATCGTGCCCCCTCATGGGCTTCTCATACCACTAGCAGAGCCCAAGAAAAGTTGCCGAAAGTGGCTCAGCTGACCACGCGAGGCCTTAGAAATCAGCTTTTCCAACTGAGCGCGGAAATCTCATGTAGCAGATTCAGGGCTCAGGACCGGAGGTTGAGTGGAACTTCGATTTCAATCACTTCGGAGGATGCTTTTGCAGGATATTTTGACCTCAGCAAGAGTGGCAGTGCTCCACACTTCCATGTTCCGGTCTAGCGGTTCCTGTTGAGTCTGAAGTCCTGCCTTTCTCGTGCACTGTGACAGTGCTCCGACCGTCCGGGGGCACCGCGCGAGCCTTCTCGGCTCGCGCGGTGTAATTTGGGATCGCCCTCCCTTGGCCGTCCCTGGTTGGCCCAACATGAACGGAATGGACGTCTAACTTGGAGAGATCGACGTCTAGCGGGTGCGGAATGGTCTTGATGCTGGAGATGTAGCAAACTGGAGACTCTTTGGAACGGTAGGCTGGTTGGGATGAGTTCAGTATGTTGGCGATGGCCAGAAGCCACAGAGGTTGCTTGGAGGTCCCAAGTCTGAATTCAAGTGTTCACGTGTGAAAATGGATGCTGATGGTCGTCAGACCCGGGAGTGAGTGGGTTGTTTGAAATCTCAAGTTCATCGTCAGGACTGCCTTCTTTTTGGGCACCCGCATGAGCACAATTCCGGCCAAGGGGGATGTTACAGATCCCAGTGGGGTTCTACCTGCCTTTCAGGGGAATCAGGTACAAAAAGATGCCGTGAGTGACGTGTGGGGCGGTGTGGATGGCTTGGGCGGATTCTGAGCAGTGGAGGCACCTTCCCGGCGACCATTCCAGGTAGCCAATAGGTGTTAATCGGGCCCCCCGTGCGACCCCTATGTCTACAGCCTACAATTTGTTCAGACCATTTATATTTCTAGGGATCCTAATCTCAAAAAAGGACATCCCAGAGTGGAGTTATTGCACCATCATCCCACTGCAACACCTCATGTTAGTAATGCTGCAATCTCCAAGGTAGCTGTGTGGTTCTTTCATATTCTGGCACCTTCACATGTGCAGCCTGATTCTGACATTCAACTGCTTCGCGGCTTCGTCAGGTACTGTGAGAGTCCCACGGCTCCACTTCAAGCCCACGGCTGACCTTAAATCACCTAAGACACGAGTGATCACAGCTGACCTAAAGCATCCCATGGACCCTTCCAATCCCAGTGTTTTTTGCTCACCACATTTTACCACCCCGGAGATTTTAGAGCAAAAGGATGCATGGGGGGAAACGTTGTTCCGACCACGATCATCCAGACCAAGACCGTCCACCTTTACTTCGGGCACCAAGATCGAGCGCAGATCGAAGTTGCCGCTCCAAGAATAGCGGTGCGCGGTGTGGTGCCATGGTGCTCCTGAATGTGGTGATTCCTCCAGGGATGAAGCCTGGCCAAGAGATCCAAGCGACCAGCCCTGATGGCGTCATCGCGGCCTGGTCGGAATGGATGAATCTGGGCCGGTCAGACGCGTCATGTGCGACGGTGGCAGCGGTGGCATGACCAGACGCGAATCTGGGGGCGATGAATTTCTGCTTTGCCTGAAGGAATCTAGGGAAGTAGGAAGAATTTCTCTAGAACCCCCTATTGGCCCTAACAGACCTTGTTCTGCACATCCTACTGAAAAGGCTCGTGGTGTTGGAGACCTTGTTCTCCACCAATAGGCTGGTCGAACAGACTTTGGTATTTTGATGCTTTGGGGATTCAATCCCAAAGACCAAAAGGAAGAACCATGAAGAATCTGATTGATTCAACAATCAACAATAATACAGACATATCATATCATATCATTGATATATGTGTATATATATATACATAATAGAGAGAGAGAGGTTCTGCAACCTTTTGAGCCACGGCTTGGCCGCCGCTGCGAGTTCTGCGGGGCTCACGCCCCTGAAAGAACCAACAAACTGGCCGGCGACTTCTTGGGGCCTTCCACGCCCGAAGGACCAGACGGGGACGGCCTCGGACCCAAGGACGAAACACCGATTTTCTTGGGGCAGACCAGCGGATGACCGCAACAACTGGCCACAATGACAGCAAGAACAGCAGGGATGACCACAATTTTTTGGATCAAAAGCTGGATCTCACTGGTAGTCCGTTCTGTTCATCAAGGTCCCCCGGGTTTGACTCAAATCATGGCCATGTGAATATCTATGTGGTATGCGCATGCATTTGCATTGTCGTTGTCGTGGCTTTCGTTTTGCGGATAAAACATGATAGAACGGATCTACGATGGATTCTCATGGATCGTGGCAAGCGGGAAGGTCTTGAGACCTACGCACACGCATGCGCAGGATGATACCCTGGGATCCCTGAACCTTTTCGCAGTTCCGTTTTCGGCATCTGGGCCCTAACCGAGAGGACATGGCCACTGCACCCCCATACAAATAGACGAATCTAGCCTGCATACTCCATGAGAGTTTGACCTGCATGAGAAAGGAACCACGGTGGCCGGGGTCCCATGTCAGGACATGGAACGTCATTGAAAGGACTGGAGGAGGTCATCCAGCTGGACAATAGTAAGCTTCACTTGCCGCCCCTTCCGTTTCCAAGCAGGAGCCAAGTTAACTAAGCCCTGGGGCTGTGTGGGCGCCGCTTGCAACTGAAGTTGAGTGGCCTGTACGATGCATGTTGCGGTCAGGCTGAGGCTGCGAACGCAGCAGTTAGGCCAGCAGACCACAACTTGTTCCCAGACCTTGCTTGATTGATCTTGATTGTGTTTTGGCACCATGTGCCGAGGTCAAGGCCACGATTCCCAGCGGTTTGAAACCTGGGCAAACATTCTCCGTGCAGTACACTGCCCCCGCTGGTGCCACAGCTGGCGCAGCATCAACGAGCACGCCATCTGGGAGCTCCTGCATTCGGCTCATGAGGATGCAGCTTGTCGAGGGTTTATTGGCCGTTGGCTCAAACACTAACTGTGCCATACTGTGGCCCTTCCCACGGTGCAGAATGGTTTGCTTTGCAAGTGATCGAAGCAGCCGGTGGGAAATAGCATGAAATAGCTTTGAGTTGAGGAAGCGGACACCCAACCCCAGGCACCTATGCTCACATTTACTTTGCCCAGGTCCTTCGCAATGTGTTCACACCGTTGGGGTGTATGGACCCCACAACAAATTTCCTTGCATGAGGTTGTGAAATAGAAGGGTAGGAGTGGTATCAGCTGATTTTGCCAAGTGCCACCGCCACATTGTAAAGAGACCTTGCCCGTATCTTGTGCCAACAAACATGCTGAATGTCGTTTAGCTCTTGCGGGTTGCAGAAATCAGGGTTCTGAACATTAATCTGGATTAATCCTCTCCCTCTCTGCTCAAACAAAGTGATTCCTCCTTTGCATCTGCGAGCCTGTGAAACCTGGTCATGGTGTTTGTGGACCCTAGCTCTTTGCATAGTGGACCATTTTCAGACCCATGTCTCGTGTGTAGCCTCTCCTGAGTCCCTCTCCATGGGTCTGAACTTTTTGTGTTTTTTGTTTTGGCTGGTCTGTCTAAAAGTGTCGAAAAAACAAAAAAGGTTCAGACTTATGTCCCCTGCCCAGCCTCTCATCAGTCCCTCTCCATGGGCCTGAGCTGTTTGCTGTTTGTTAGTTGTTATTGTTTGATTTATTTATTTCGTTGTTTCTTTTTTGGTGTTGGTTTTCTCAAGGTTTTGGTTTGACCCTGGGATATGACTGTTTACTATCGGCATTTATGTCTCATTCAGTTCTAATTAACACTTCTAATTTAATTCTAAGATTTTTAACCTTTACAAATACAATTAAACTCCATTCAAAGTCAATTCTTATTCTAATTTCATTTCTATTTCTATTTAAATTCTATATTTTATCTAATTGAATTTTAAATTGCTTCAAATTTGAGTATGTAACATACTTCTACTTTAATTCTAAAGTTGGCCCTCAATAGACCAAAAACTAGTCTATTTATTTTAAAACTCATCGTAGTCAAATTCTAATTCAATGTTTCTAATCCACTTCCGTGTTAATTCCAATTATGTTTGGCTGTTTCAGATCTAGTTGAATTCAAAGGTGAGTTTAGGTTGAATCTGCAACATGCTTTTTATGTAATTCTAAGTTGAGCCTAATTGAATTCTGTATTGAGTCTGCAAATTAATTCCAAATTGATTCTAAGTCAATACTGTTTTACAAATCAAGCTCTAGGTTTTTCCTCCTCTAATTCAATTCTACCTTACTTCTAAATCATTTTCCATTTAAGTAATGATTTTTGATTCAATGTTATTCATTCAATTCAAATTAGTTCCAGTTTGTTTCTAATTTAATTCTTTTTCATTCTGTTTTGGATCCAGTTGTACCTTTGTGTTTATTCCAATATATTTGTAGCTGATTTCTAAAGAAACAAATATATTGGAATAAACACAAAGGTACAACTGGATCCAAAACAGAATGAAAAAGAACTAAATTAGAAACAAACTGGAACTAATTTGAATTGAATGAATAACATTGAATCAAAAATCATTACTTAAATGGAAAATGATTTAGAAGTAAGGTAGAGTTGAATTAGAGTACAGTTCAGATGCAATTGTTTTACACATTTAACATTTTAATTTTGATTCTATATGTCGAATTTGATTTCTAGTTTTTGATTTTAGTTCAGAGCCAATGGAATTAAAATTCAATTGTGATTTCATTCTAGAGAGTGGGTGTTACTGGTGGTGTGAGTATTTCATTTAAGAAAAAGGCTTTTATGTTGGAGAAACTACATAAACCTTCATGTTCAAAACAACACCAATTCTCTTGAAGTAGGCGGGAATTTCATAAATTACGTTCCTTCGAGTGATCCCCACCATGAAATTTCAAAACAGCCACGTTGACATCACCCTCGCCCTCGTTGTGTATTTCAGCCCATAGCACAAGTCCTTCATCGTCAAGTCTTACTCTTTGTCAGAAGCGAATGCTTTCATCAGGAGACCTGTGCCCAACTAATAATACAACTCAGATCATTCAGTAGTCGTACTGGGCGGCCCAAAACTAGGCAACTTCCGGGCCCGAGCAGTAGTAGTAGTAGTAGTAGTAGTAGTACCAGTACTAGTACTAGTAGCTAGTAGCTAGTAGCTAGTAGCTACTAGTAGTAGTAGTAGTAGTAGTAGTAGTAGCAGTAGTAGTAGTAGTAGTAGTAGGTGCTGCGGTGGTAGTAGCAATAGTAGTGCGCAGTTCGGGGCCCGACCTTCGGGGCCCGAACCTTGCAAACGTCCGGGGCCGTAGTCGTCGTCGTCGTCGTCGTCGTCGTCGTAGTGGTTGTGGTTGTGTGTTTGCGGTTGCGTTTGTGGTTGTGTGTGTGGTTGCGTTTGTGATTGTGCTTGTGGTTGCGTCTTTGTCGTTGTGGTTGTGGTTGTGTGCTTGTCATTGCGTTTTTGCCTGTGGTTGTGTTTGTGGTTGTGTGTTTGCGGTTGTGTGTTTGTGGTTGTGTGTTTGTGATTGTGTCTTGTGACATAAGCTCTAACAACTCTCACCTGACAGGTGGGGGAAAACAAAAAGTCAATTAAATCATATTGGAATTGAATCTGAATTGTATAGCATTGAAGTTATAATTAGCCTGGAGCCAAATTGAAATTAGGCTTGCATTGAACCCCAAGTAAATTACAACATAGTGAAGGTTTGAATCAAAGGGGAATGTAAAATAAGTGAAATAGGTTTAAATTGGAATTTAACTGAATTTAAAGATAAAAGTAGAGCAGCGTTGAACAGGCTTGAATCTGAACTCAATTAGAATTAAATTTGAATTTAGTTATTTAGGGTTTGCAATTCTTTGCCTTCTGATTCTGATGTATTTACTCAACTACATTCAACAAATGCAGTGCAATTCCACACTCTAAAAGCATTACATATGGTTTTGCATGGGTGCGCATGGAATGAGATTACTACATCCAAGAACTTTTTAGTTAGCACCTAACCTTATGGATTTACATATTTTTGTAGCACATAGTTGCGTGAACAAATATGTTTACCAACCGCACATAGAGCAAACAAAACACAAGTTTCACAATCCTATCAATGTCATATCACCCGCAAAAAGAACAAAACCTTACAGAATCACAACTTTATGAGCAGCAGATGAAGGTTTGAGTGAATGACATTGTTCCGGAGCAGGCATGTAGGGTTCATTAAACAAAATTAGTTCAATTTAGTCTGTATTAAGCTTGCATGTTCATCACGTGAGGGCGAAGAGGTACACAGTGAAAGGTGGTTGCAGGCGGTTTCCACGTTAGCGTGTTGTTTTGTAGCAGCCTGGTACCTGGCTCCTGTACTACACATTTCGTCATGGAACACAAAAATTCACCGGCGTGAGTTTGTTCTGCAACTGCACACGCGGAAGGCCATTTTTAAGTTGACAACTTCTCAGTTCGAGTCGAAAGGGTTTGTTCAGGGTAGGGGTGCTGAAGGGGCAGTGCATCAATCGACCAGGCGATGGTTTAGGTTGGAGGGTCCGGTGGAGTTGATATGAAGGTGAACATTCTGAAAAATAACTTTCCAATGGGCCATGTTAGCGAGTCCGAGTGTGATATGGCTAATGTGGGCCATTATGGGCCCATTATATGGCCTATTGAAACAAGCAAGTAGGGGGACCTCGTAAAGACCTCCTGGAAGAGGAGAAGCAGACCAAAACCCATTGGTTCTGGGAGATGTTGGGAGTCTCTCTAGGCCCTATGCACACCTATATACTTTGGTCCTGGAAAAGGCGCAGAGGCTCCGCAGCACTTCGTTGACCACCGCCCGATCCGACCCACAGGTATAGTGGCGGCGATCTCATTGTGCTTTGCGGGTTGGTGGTCATTGGAACCTCGGCTGCAGGGCGATGCAGCAGTGGAACTGCACAGGTGGAAGAGCATTAGTTTATATAGGTTCCAGGTTGCTATTTTAGATAGGTTACCTTTGTCAGAAACAAATGTTCCAAATATTTTTTTTGGGGGAGTCTTCAGCCCTCCAAACCTTGGACACTCCGAAAGTGGATGCTGGCTTACTATCAGCAAACACAAAAGAACTATAAGTAGTAAGTACCACTAGTGACTAGTTGATCCAGTTACCAGTTGTTTCATACTAGTTGTAGTGGTACGTTTGATGGCCTGATTTTGCTTAGAGTGATTCCTTGGGTGAACCAATGTTTGGGGAATCTACGGACATAATAACATATATATTAGGAATACATATATGTTATGTAGATTCTTTGTTTGGGGGGCCAGGCATGGGTAAACTTACTTGTCTTTGAAGAACGCAGAGATGCGCAGAAGCCTGCAGTTTCTGTGTTTTCTCGTTTCTTGGGCTGCGCACACGCGAACTTTGAAGTCTCGTATCCTCAAAGAAAGGTAAATCGCTGTGAGTCTTGTCCAAAGTCTTTAAAGTAGGGTCATTTTGTTTGCTTGAGGATGTTCATGTCTAGATTGGTTCGCACCGCATGAGGCGTGCGTTTTTTTGTTTTCAGGATGCCCCTGCTATTCCTTTGGGAGAATCATTTTTTGTAAGTCGAATGAATCACCTCACCTGGTTTGATCTTCAATAAGCTCAAGCTGAGCTCCCAGCGGCTACGGGGCTCAAGCAGAGCACAAACCACCAAAGTATCGAGATATTATGAGATGTTGTTCATTGGTTTGTTAGTTTGTTCCTACCAATTCAGGAGCAAGGTCCGGTGATCCACAATCCGCATACTCCTCACGCGCACAGAAGGATCCGGGATCTATGATCTATGCCTCCAAATGTTGTGGTAGCCTTTGGCTCGATCACGTGCGGGATTGTTAGACCCTTTCACGCCTTTGCCAAACGTGCCAGCGAATGTGCCAGTCAAGAGGCTCTTGCCCATAATGACATGGCTGAACTGGAACCTTTAGCGCATCTCCTTCAAGCATGTTCCAATCATAGTTGATGGAAGGACTACTAAAGGCATTCAAACTCCAAATTCTAGTCGCTTTCCATGGTCCTCCCACCCATCCAGATTGAGACTCCAAACGCGGAAATACCACCAGGATTCAGCTTGCCAATGTTCATCAAGCATGCTGGCTCCATCCTCAACATCCTGGCCACATATGTGCTTCCAGTGATCGTGGCCGGCCTAGCGGTGGCCTATGACGCTTGGACAACCAAGAAAGACGCTGTGACCCGCTTTCGATGGGATATGATGGGATCATTGAGTCAGCAGCGAAGAGGAATCACTTGGACCCAGCTTCCGTGAGCTGATTGAAACAAGCACCAGCCTGGCAGTAGTTATTTGAGATCAGAACCACGTAACCACCTAACCACCCCAAATAGGAAGATCCCGCATGGTTTGGGGAAGAGTTGGGTCCCAATGATTTGGACCCCACGGCCTGCCGAGAGCGGCCCTTTTTTCGAGGACTGGAGCCTGAAGGGTCCCACTGTGGCGCTGAAGAACACGGCGGCTTGGCATTCTTTGACCCTACGATTCGTGCCGCACACGTGGTGGCATTCGTCCAGGTGGCATTCGTGGCTGAACAGTTCCGTCCCACGTCCCACGCCGGGTGTTGTAGTTGGTGAACATCACATGTATACAGGTCCAGGATCGCCCAGGAGGTGACTCGTTGGGTGTCCGGGCGACACTGACGGTCTCGACTTTCGCACGAAAGAAGTGCTTCACACATCGCGGTGAAGGTTCTCACTCCCAAACACTCCATGGGACTGGAATATATGCATTGAGCCCAGGTCAACCACCCCTAGCCTGATCGGCACATATATGGCAGTCCCATGGAGTGTTTGAGACTGATGGGAAGTGGCAGAAGATTCGAAAGACATCGATTTCGACCCATTTCAGGAGCTCAGGTTGTTGTCCTCAAGGGGCTTCAGCTTGTGGAAGGTGCTTTGTGTGGAACCTTCGGTGGGCCCGATAGGTTTCAAGGGGATCGTATTTGCCGGTGCTTCCCAGGTACATCCCAATCCTAAGGAATGGGAGTGGAGACAACATTGCTTCAGGTGAAGGCGAATACCATAATATATCTCAAGAGTGTGTTTAATGTTTGTATATTTTTGGGGGGACCCTAAGCCTACTGCGGCTAAGTACCAGCAGACTCTTCTCACCTATGTCGGAACGGAAACCACGGCCGGGGTAAAAAAGCTTGAACATCGGAGATGCGATGGTAATGTGGTTTCAGGCGTGATGTCAACAAAATGCCTTCCTACAGAGGTTAAGTGACCTTATAGGACCCTACAGGGGTACCTATAGGATAGTCTATAGGGTTCTTCAACCTTTGCTGGTTATTCTAGCTCTGGGTTCGACAGTCTTGCATCGCAATGGCTTGACAGCAAATATCCCTAATCACAGCGGTACACAGGTTACGGGAAACAACAACAGCGGTTTGCAGCATGTTTGCAGCAACAAGAGATGGTTCATTCCTGAAAGTTTCGATTCAGTTTGTTTGACTCCAAGTTATCCCAGTTGTTTACCTTTTTTCGTGGTGGGACGTCTCGCCTCCATCCATCTCCGATTCTCCACGATGGAAGTTTGAATCTTGAACCATCCGATGGTTACCGCGTGAGTACTCCAGTGACGTCTCGCGGTCGCGTCTTCAAATCCAACCAGTTCTGGACTCGTGTGTTCAGTCTTATGTTCCCACTCACCAGCCAATTCTGGAGATATTCGATGCATGAATGCATGAAGCATTTGGTTACATAGTACGAGGTAGTAGTTTCAGGGTCAATGTAGGACAACACCTCCATGTTAGATGCATCGCTTTGGATAGGACATTGGCCACGAACCCAAGGCTAGTTTCCTTTGCAGTTTGAGGCGACGCATGGTGATACCATCCACCACCAAATGAGCATGAGTGGGAGACCAACCCCATGTCACATGACACAGAAACGGGTTGTAGGAGCATGTAGTAATATGTCCCAACAAAAAGCTTCAGTTTGGTACTTCCCTGGATCTCAATCCATCCAAATCCAACAGTTCATCCGACCTTGCATGCCCAGATCCTCCAACTGTGCCAAATGTTTGTCTTTTGGCTGGCTTTATATATATATATAGATATTAATATAGATGGAAAAAGCATCAATTTGACACTGTTGGAAGATCCAGGTCTTCCTTCCCTCAAGCGCCCAGTGAAAGCAATCCTCGGAACCTCCTCGCTTGCACCTCGGGCACCGGGTGACCGTCAGCCTGGACCCACCAAGGGTTGAAGCCGGCTGTTCGACCATCCAAAGGGTGCTGGCGATAAGGATTACTTATATAGGTATAGGATGGTATAGGTACCTTATCAGGTCACTTTTCAGGGTCCGATGTGCGGTCATCCTGCCAGTTGGCTGCGGCGGTGGTCGCCTGGATTCTCGTGGTGCCTTTGGGCGTTGTCACCCACTCGCTGTCGCTGGGATGCGGACCACCGGTGACCGGGTGACGCGCGCGATGGACCGGGACAGGAGAACGTGGATAGGCCATGAAGGAGGCGTGCTTTCGGCAAAAAAAGACTTCAATAGAATAGTCTAGATGTTATTTTTTAATGTATATATATAATATATATACATATATCATGTATATATATATATAATATATAAAATATGTTAGAGATTTGCATATAAAGTGCCTCCATTGTAGGAGGGACAGGAGGAAAGGGTAGGACAAGACACTGACAACGGTAATGACAAGGGGAAAGCTGAACATGAAAAGGCCAGTGAAAGAAACACAAACTTTCAAGTAGTGCAAAAAGATGCAACATGGATCGTTTGAAGAGAGTGGGATTTACATTTGCAGCTGCATTTCTCATGGAGGGGGCAACGCTCTGCATTGTTTGGGCAAGGACGTGTCGCTCGCTCCAACTAAGGGGATGCATGATTGATTTTGTTTGATCCTATCTTGTCATTACCGTGATGAGCACATATGTGGCCTCACGTGAGAGTCCCCAAATCGTGGCCTGTACTCAGGTTTACTCCCCAGGCGATCAAATCGCACGTAGACCAACGCCCCCAGAAGCTGCCCGAGTCAAAGAACAAACCTACTAGGCTAGTGGTAGCCCACCTAGTGGTAGGTAGTCCACCTATACTGGTCGCCCACCTAGTTGAGGCCCATCCCGCCGGCTCCCGGCGGTGGGGTGGTACCGAGGCTCAATTACTTCACTAGCTTGATCATCGTGGTGGGGACGCTCGATTCGCTCGCTCAGCAACAGGGTCACACTTCGCTCGGTCCCTGAAAGATGTCTAAGACTTGAATGGCGAGCGCGCAAGTGTTGGTGTGAAGCTGCTCTTCTTTTGTGGTTGGCTGGTCCAAACTGTTTGTGTAAGGGCTGATGCTCGCATGTGAATTGAGTTTGTTGGTTGTTTTGGGTTCTGGCGAGCCAGAACCACGTGGAAGTTGACATTGTTGAGAAAAGTTTTGTCCTTCGTCCTTCCATTGGAAATGAAAAGAACTTGTCACCAAAACACATGAAATAGTGTTGGAACATCATCAACTTATTAACGATTAACGCATTGATCAGTTCAAACCATGTGGCTTTCTCTGCGTGTTTCGACATGGACCACTTGGACCTGATGTCACACACCTGATCAGACCAATTGAGTGGCACGGTAAGATCTACATTCATCTACATTCTGTATCCATCCATGTAGCTTGGGTCTGCCCGATGACCTGTAGAGCCGTCAGTAAACAATGATCACTAGTTTTGAACAAGGCCTGCAACCTAACCATCATCATCCACTGGGCCCTGGTATTAGGATAGACCCCAAGATATTCTTTATAGGGGTCATTGTAAACCACCTTTTGAGGATTTTGCCATCTACTCTGAAACCACTGTAAACCACTTGTACGGTTTTCGGGGCTTGCTTCTGTACTGAGACGCTTTTCGCGTTGCGAGGCTGCTGCTAGCCTTTTGATCTTGAGCGTCTTCCTCCAGTTTGGGCTTTGTGGTGGGTGACGCGTTTGCACTTGTGCTAGCTGCTCAAGCTACACATATGATGAGACAAACTCATAAATGACACTGATGGTGTTCTAACACAGTCGCACCAATCGGCGCCACTAATGGGATGCTTCCAGGTGCTCTTTTCTTCCGCAACTAGCATACTGACGTTGATGGAAAAACAATCCTCCGATGGAAAACATGGTTTTAAGTCCATGAAGGGTTTCAATTCATTGGGGAATACAAGGGGTGTTTCAGGGTCTTCCATAATTGCCGCGAGGTGGCTGTTCGCGCTGCTCATTCTGTCGGTCTTTGCCCCTCGGCATCCCCCGGCGAATGACGGCCACTTTGCGCGATGGCAGAGCTGAGTTGGCAAATGGATAGGAACAAGCAGCGACCATTCAAGAGAGCACGGAAAACCACGCCAATCCCTGTTGTAGGGCCCTAGATTTGTTTAAACAATGCAAGAAGCAATCAAAAAGCACCAAGCACATCAAAGCACCTCTTCCAACTTCCCCCATCCCCCATCTTGGACTTCCAACTAAATACTTTTGAATGGAGGGCATATTTCCGTGGGATATATTTTTTTGGGGGGGTGGGATGCTTTTTTTTCTTTTATGGGCTCTGGAAGGAAGGAAGGAAAGAAGGAAGGAAGGAAGGCAGGCAGGAAGGAAGGAAGGAAGGAGACGGAGAAGCAAGGAAGGAAGGAAGGAAGGAAGGAAGGAAATTGCACTTCAAAGGCTTTGCTGCACATCGAAGCAAAACGCTCCGATCTGACCCTGGGCCTCCCGCGAACAGTCGACTTCAAACCAGCTATGAACCGTGGAAGACCCCACAAAGGTGGATGCTATGGGCCACCAGCACGTAGAGGGATCACTTAGCTCAAACACCCAATAGTAGCACGTAAAAACCCAGTAGACCTAATGAGAAACTGTCTAAAGCAACAGAATCAGAAGACTCAACCCCCCCCCAAAAAAACATCCCACTAAAAATAAAAAATATATCCCGCTAAAAACCTGCAGCCCTTTTGAATTAACCTACTAGAGCGATGGCCTCCAACCTACTAGCGATGGCCTCCAGCCTAATAGCGACGGCGATGGCCTCCAACCTAATAGCATGCACACCCCAAGCCCGTTGTTCCTGTCACCCGACCGTATCTCCCTGAGATCGTCTTCGGCGGCAGCATGGTGTGGCTCATCAGTGGGCCTTTGGGAGGCGCAGTGATCTTCTTGGTGGCCTTCTTCTGCACCCGTGTGCGCCTTGGGCTGGTGCGGGAGTCGCTTTTGGGCGGGAGTCGCCTTCCCGATCTGGGGACGAAGTCTTTCTTAAAAGGGTGATGCTTCGGAGGTGTGGGACGGGAGGGAATCAACGGTTTGGATGGAGAATGGTGGAGGTGGGTGGATAGTGTTGTAGATGTGGAGATGGGGCGAAACCTGAGGGTTTTCGAAGCTGGTACTGCTGATTGGTTTCAAGGGCGATGGAGCTGAAACTTAGGTCTGAGATTCTGGTGCAGGCGATTGAAATAATGACAGGTTGCGATCAAGGGCCAGGTTGTTGAAAGGTATCCAAAGACTTCATTTTTGCATGCGCCCAGCCTCGCACAACTTTTATGCATGTGTATTAGTATGCAATCTTTCCTCCAACCTAATGCGAAATGTTCTATCCTTTTTGAACTCTTTTTGGCTTGGCACTGGGTGCAGCTAAAGACTCAGACACAGCCCATAGCCATTGGGAACCCCTACCCGAATTTGACATGGATTCTGGCCTGGCGGAGGCCTCCGCACTTTGGCCCCCCCCCGCTCGCTAGACATGGCCAAACCTAGATCAATCTCCTAGCCACCTCGGGGCCTAAATAGAGCTTTCAGGGCCATCCATGGTGCTTCAGATCTGATTTTCCTCTACGTCCTCCCCACTGCCCACGCAAAAAGGAACGCGCGTTTCGACACGTGCTTTCTGCTACCCAAAGAAACCCTCCATCACCCGAAGCGCTCAACCGCCTTCACCGGGGCCACCAGGCCCAAAGAGGGTGTCACCGAGGATCTTCGGCGTGATCTTCCTCCGCGACTTGGACCCCAGTGCTTGGCCTCATGTGAAGGAGGTGGAAAAGAACAGCGATGAGCTGCCCGGAAGAAGCGAAGGAAGTGTGAGAGGAGATGGACAAGACTGGAGCATGGGCAGAAGTTGGAGGTGGTTTGAAGGGACTTTACAGCAAGGAGGCGTTGTTCTTTTTGTTGGTTTTGCTCCGAAACTGCGGGGAAAGAGAGGGGATCGAACAGAACTTTGGACACTTTTTGGGTGCTTATATATTGTGATACCTGCACGGCAGCCGTATCAGGCGCATTGCAGTATGTTTGATCCCATGAATTCGGCTTGAACTGTGGACTCTTCTGGGCACATGAGCTTCTTATTTGCGGAGCAGCTCCCGCAAAGGTGCCAGTTCACCATTCAGAACATGTTAGGCTTCGGATCCTGTCATCGGAAGAGAGTTCGGCTCCCAAAGCATTGCAGGTGAGAGATGAATTGAATTTGACTTATCCGATATCCCACTCACCGTCCGATGTGGATGTTCACCCCGGACCCCTCGGCATGAGCAAAATGGTCTTCCAAGGCCGAACCTGTTCTACTTCCATGCTATAGTGACTAGTGGGTCAGATAGATAGGTCGGTTTCTCTCACGGTGGAACCCTGGCAATGAATTTGTCTTAGCATATTTCTCTCGATCTCTATGATATGTTGTATATAGTATAATATAACATAATATATAATATAGGTCCCCAATCAGCAAATCCAAGAGCATATGTTTACAATATCGCCAGATCCTGGTCACCCCCAAGTCTTCGGGCAAAAATTGAGAACACCTGACTCATATATGGGTAGGAAACCAACCTTCCGCGAGCCCCTCACTTCAAGGTATGTCTCGCACCAGGATGTGCTCATGTTTCATGTTCAATCCAAAGGGCTGTGCTGTTGTTCATAGCCTCCCAATTCTTACAAGCGAGTTCACTTTGAATCCTGAAACTGCCATGTACCATGTGTCCCGGTTGTGGGTTTGCTCAGGTTGTTGTTTTGATCAGTCTCCCTTCAGGGGGGGCTAGGGTGTTTGGCTGGGAGGTTCTTTGGTTCCTTGAATTTGGACAGTGACGATGCGCTTTGATGATGGCCTAGGGCCTGGGGGATTATATATATATATCAGGTGTTCCATAACAGATTGCTTCGCGGAGTGTGACTTTCCTCCCAAGTTTTCCAGACAACGGCACTAACTAAAATGCTTGGTGGGGGAGGAATCCCCAATGTGAAATGTGCTGTGTTTCTTTTTGATGGGAATGAAGGAGATCGGACTTATATATAAAAATATTAATGATCCATGTTTTGCATGGCTGGATGTCCGGCACCCCGCAAAAACAGCAGCACCGATCCTTCAGGTTCCGGAGCCAGAAGGACTCTTGGCAGCCAGACCAGCTCGGACCAAACCAGCCGGTTCTCGCAGATGAAGCCCTGAAGCCCTTTTCACCCCATAGACCGCCGAACAGTTCTCTCTTGGCGCGCAAATTGAAGCTTTTGAAACCCGTGGGGCCGCCGTAGAGCTGCCCGAGTCCTAGAGTATTAGATAGAGTGAAACATGGGAGGACTTGGAACGGCGACTCGGAGAGACGCAAACATCAGCTGTAGCTTGGTCGCTGAGACCATGATCCGTTGGTGTGGCCATGTCACCGGTGGATCGATGGCCTCGAGTCGCTCAGGAATACTTCATGACCAATTGTCAACCTTGGGCGCACAAGTATGACTTCAACCTTTCCGTGTCCAAAATCTACAGCCGCCTGGTGAAGACGGTCGCATGACGATGCACGCGTCATGCGTCCCCGCACGGAAATAAAACCTGGTGGCACCGTGGCACGAAGCCAGAGCAGTTTGAACATCAACGTCATTCCATCAAAAAGTATATATATATAAGTACCTGGTTCTTCAAAGTGACCTTTTGATAACCTGGTTTGAGGTCACTTAAGCCTCCTAAGGGTCACTTAAGAACCTTCAAAAGGTCACTTTGAAGAAGCTGGTATATACTGTACAATGATCAATATGGTGATACTCCACATGTATCAGAAGTGTTCAGATGTATGACGCAAATGTCTCTTGGTCTTGCTTGATGATCAAACAAGCATGTTCCATTGGAAGTGAGACCAACTCCGTCACGTCCGCCTCGATCGCCTCAGGAATCGACAAGCCCGATCCGTCAGACCCTGAGAATGGGCCTGGCCGGCCGGGCTGGCGGAGGGCACAAGCTGGGATGCGAAGTGTGAGATGAAGCACTAAGGGTTAAGCTGATGAACTGCTAGTTTTTCTGAGCAAGATGTGTTGAACGATGGCAAATCAGCTGGTTTTCCCGGATCCCGTGGTTGATTTGACAAGGGGTTAAGATCCATGTTACGAAAGCCAGCCTTCGTAGAAGGCGCCAGCTGAGTTGTGCTTGGCGAACGAAGTGAGTAGTTAGGGGGTCTGGGGGGTGGCCCGCAAAGGTACACGTAAACTCGGCACATGCTGGGGGAGGAGGGTGCATCGAGGGAAGGCTTTTTGAGGTTGCGTTGGAGGTGATTTTTGAGGGGTGGTGATGCAAGAAATGCAATTTGCATCATTTGCATCATCTGAATGGAAAGGTGCAGTTAGCACCTTACCCGGTATAGATACCCAGGGTAGCTATAGTGCAGCTACCAGGTATAGTACTTCAAGTTCCCTTTCCGTCAACCGCTCGATAACCTCTACACACGCACAGCAATCCACAGCTCTGAAGCCTCATGCGCGCGATACCTGGGAACAGAATTGTAGCTACCCTGGGTCCGTATAAATGCTATGTTGCTATACCTCTTACACACCTATACAAGTTCAAAGCACGAATGAGACTTCAAAGCTGTGGTTTGCTGTGCATGTGTGGCTCGAGAAAGATATACGTAAACTCTGGGAGGCGATGCTTTGATGCTTTTGGAGCGGGTGGTGACGCACTCGCCAACTAGAACATATACCCTTCAATAGGAACTCGAACAGCTCAAATCCAGAGAAGATTCTGAAAATGGCCTGGCTCCCTATATGAACCCTGGGAAGACTGGGAAGCGAAGAGGTGGAAACAGCTGGGAGGTCTTGAACTTTTAAGTAAACAAAAGGCCACATTCAAGCAGCAGAAGGACAATGTGCATCCTTTGCTCTCGCTTCGCAGACCTTCATTTTTAAGGTGGCCTGAACAGAGTGCTTTAGGGCAGCAAACCCTGGTCTCAGGCCACCTTGAATTTAGCTTGAAAACCACAGCTTTGAAGCCTCATGCGCGCGATACCTGGGAACAGA